TACCCACAAAAAAAAAAAAAAAAACAAACAAACAAATCGTGTAAGTCAATTTTACCATGAAAATATTTTTCAGGAAATATTATCACATCAACCAAACATGCCTAATCAAATGATTGCAATGTACACAGGGTCACACCATTCAATCTGTCTTTTCGGTTAGAACTTGCAATAGTCAACAACTAATCAATCAAGTCCAAGCCCAAGTTTTGAAATTGCAATAGTCAACAACTAATTAATCAAGTCCAAGCCCAGGTTTTGTGAGCAAGTAGCTTGGATGAGAGTTATCAAGACTGCGACTTGTACTTAACAGAGTGGGTTCAAAATCAATATTTAGCTTTGGCAAGTTAAGCTGACTGGTTCAGATTGGTTGAACAAGCTAAACAAAATCCGTGATGTTTTTTGTGATTTGTTTAACCACTCGTTCTCTTTATTTCTTTATTTTTAAAGCTAACTTAACATATCTTTCAATTTTAATGGTATTTTTACACGACTAGACCCTTCATTGGTTTTACAGCTAGTCCTTTCTTAGGAACACTAGTCTTGATCTAGTTCTCAATCCATGAACACTATATCAAGCTCTCAGTCCCTTCTTTACCTAATGCCTTCATATGTCATACAAGTTAAAGGGCCATTAAATTAGCATAATTTGCATGATATGAAACCTAAAGGTTCCAACCCTAAGGCTTTAGGCCAACAGCTAGTACACTATAAAAAATCATCATTTGAAGCCCAACATTTATCAATTACACAACCACTCTAGATTTTCAATTATACCATCCGTTGAAATAATAAGATGACTATTACCAAATCCCAAATTTCATGCATTTTCTTCTGTTGAGACCCAACAAAATCCACAAATTTCTTGTAATTTCCTCTTGACTTTAAGCACGTATTAACAAAAATCCAATAAACAACTAATTTCAATTTGCAAACGTTTCATTTATTAGCCTCAATCAGAATACCTAAAATGAAATTCTTACTTATTTTGTCTCGACTCGGAATTTCAAGTTCTGAATCTTGGGAATTAAAAATTAAGTCAAAGAAAGAAAGAGTTTATATAAGGTTGCAACCTTAAAATGTAGAATTAAAGGTGCACCTCAAAAATCTATCATAAAAAGTTGTTCGGATGTTGGAAAACTCTCAAATTGATCATCTCGACATACAATTAAAAATAAACAATGCGCACCTCTTAATAGTGGAAAGATAATTTTTTAATAGCAATAATCTCTATGATGGACTGAAAATTTATTTTTATCTCGAATTATAAAATTTAAACCTTAAAAAATAGTGCAGTTTGAGTTGATTTATAAACACTCGAAAATATTAAAGATTGATATCTCAGATAATGCATTATAGATGGACAATTTCCCATACCTAAAATCTATTTTTTTTATGTTTACGCCTCAAGGGTGAGATGCTCGATTTGAGGATTTCTAACATTGAAACAACCTCTTCTAGTGAATATTTAAGGTGCGCCCCAAGTTCGTCGTTTAGCAGCAAAGGACATAAAACTAAACGAATCTTCCACTCCCCATAAAAAATGAAGTTCTAAGGGAGCTTTTTTAAATAGGAAAAATATCAGTAACATGAAATCCTTTACAATATCATTAAAAGAGTCCAAATTTCTCTAGTAAAATTTGAAGGTATACTTTTTTTTTTTTCATACGGTTGTACCTCCTCAATTAATTTTTTTAAAAATACCTAAATTTCCTTTATTCGTATTTGCAATGCAGAATAATTATGAGTATTTCTATAATCTGATTCCTAAGAGACCTAAACCGAATGGTAAAAATACCCCTATTTGTTATGTATTTCGAATAAAGAATACGTTGTTCCGTATTAGTAATGCAAAACACCTAGAGATAAAAGTATAAAATGAGACAATTTACCTTTGATACAGGATGTTCACATTAATCTTGACCGTTGGATGTGAAATTGGGCTGCTGCAATTATTTCATTAACCAACCTCAAACTTTAAAAGATATTTTCTCGAACTTTGTGGCACATCCAAGCTATCAAATTTCACATCAAATTGTTGTTAGGAATTGTGACCACTTTGTATTAAAGGTAAATGATTTCTTTGTATATAATCCCTTTTATAATTTGATACATGCAAAGTATTTAAGTGCAAAATAATAAAAATACCCTTAGTTGCTTCACATTACTAATATTGAACAATGTCTTTCTTATTTGAAATGAAGAACAACTAGGTGAGGACTTTTAACGATCAAATTATAGTAATGTCCATGATTGTTCTGCATTCCAAATACTGAATAAGTATAACTTAGGTATTTTTAAAATTCTGGTTGAGGAGGTACCTAATTGAAATGAGAAAAGTAAAGTATATCCTCCAACATTACTAAATTTCTATAAGACCTAGGCTTTATGAAAACAAAATAAAGCCTCACCTCAAATCCTCATATGGAAAACACTTTCGGCAATGGAAATCTCCATGATGGATCAAACATCAATTTCCAACACCGACAATAAGATTTGAAACTAAAAAAAGGTATGATCTTGCTGATCTATGAATATTTATTTTTAGGGAGGAATGGACAGTCTAGATAATTTGTTATAATATACATTATTTTTAGAGCTTTAAATCTTAATTGTTTTTCACAACCATAATGTTCACACCGAGATAATCGATGTAAAGGTTTTTCAATGTTTGAATTGTAATTTTCGATAAGTTATGAGGTGACGCTTTACTTATTTTTATAGGGCTGAGGCCCAATCAAACCATTTCCCATAATGCATATTTTACATTTGGGTGCGGTTTCTATAAGGTTGCAACCCTAAACAATCCAATATCGGCGCACCTCCAAATTTTATCATAACATGTAATTTTGTTGTAAAAAATTCTTAGGATTATCTTAAAATATTTTTTCATATCTAATTAGAAAAATTTAAATTCCAAAAATGGTTAAAAATAAGTTATTCTATAAATGTATGAAAATCTTGAAAATTGAAGGTCTAGATAATATGTTGCAAGATGCACTTTTTTTGGGATTCAAAAACTCTTTTTTTTTTTATATTCATACATCTCAATGTCGAAATGATCAATTAGAGGGTTTTTCAAAATTAAAATAACATTTCCGATAGATTTTTGAAGTGCATCTATGATTCTACATTTTAAGGTTGCAACCTGATATAAACTTTTTCCTTTACATTTATGTCTTACTCGTCTAGAGCGTGTAGCATTTTAACTTTTTTTGAAACACTGCTAAAGTCTAACTAGCTCTGAATTTCACTTATCACCTATTTAATTTGCAATACATAGCCAAGAAACAATCTCATGTGGTCATCCATTTACTACACAACCAATCTTAATTTTCACATAATTCTCTTCTGATTATGCATTAACTCAAAACCATAAAGACAACTAGTCTCAATTTTCACACCTACTTTCCCTATTATAACCATAAATTATCCTCACAAACCCATAACACGCGGGGTCCCCGGATCTACTAACTTTCCGGCGACATCATACATTATCACGCCGGAAAAGTCAGGTGGTTGACACTTCTCACCCATTATAATTCCCTTTTGCCAAAGGCAATTCTCACTGCTTCTGCCCAACTCCTCGTGGGTTCCGGCATTCTGGAGTCGCCGGAGTCTCCATTTGGCCAGAATCTGGTGACGGGTATCAAAGGGGAGAATGGGATTCGAGATACTGAAGTGGGTTCGAGCTTTGAGCTTGCGTTTTCGACGTGCATGAAAGGTACATAGAGAGATTGTGAGCGCACAGAGGGCTAGGCTTGCTAAGGCGATGATGGCTCCTTTGTTGGATGAGCTGAGTGTGTGGTGCACAGAGTGAAGCCATGCAGCCATTTGAGACTTCTTTCTCTCTCTCTCTCTGTGGAACAATGAATTGATGCCCTGTTGAGGTGTTAATGGCTTGGAATGAATATTCATATTTATACTTTGCAACTCCTCTTGGCTTCTCCCTTCAGAGAATAGCTGGGTACCCATATTTTAAGTAAAAAGATTATATGCTCCAGCAGGAACATATTGTACATTCACTCTCTCGTGTGAAAATCCTATGTTGGAATATTTACAATGTCTCAAACTTTGGGATATAACCTCGAAAAAGGAAAAGAAATGTAAAAGCAAATAAATTCATACCCCCCACTTCATATGTGCATGAAAACATACTTCATAGGTGCATGAAAACATAGACTTAAGAAAAAAGACCATTCAAACTCTGGAAAGTCAGATTTAAATTTAAGTTTGGGAAGTCAAAATCTAATTTTTTGCTTTTTTCCCCTAAAAAAATACTCTTATATGATTGAACAGTGAGTACCAAAATTTAAGACAAAAGGAAATGGTCCCAAGCTAGTCTCTTGTTTGAGAGAGTAGGTATATAATATGCTCCCTTTGTAGCACTCTCCACTCGCTCTCTCTATTTGAGGATTGGTTAAAGATTAGGATCACCTGCTCCTTATTGTGCCCTAGAGTCATAGGACTAATTCTTTGTGGTTTTGGTAGCTTAAAATTCTTAACACTTTGAATTGGATTTCGTTAGTCGGTCACATTACATGTAACTTTGAATTGGATTCCGTTAGTTGGTCAACTACTCTACATCAGAGTAGAGTTGCTCATGCAGTAGTAGTTGCTAAATGAGAAAATATTATGTGCTTTATGAAATCTAAAGATAAAAAAATTGATCCAGATCGAATAAATCTATAATCATTTTGAAATTGCTAAATGAGAAAATATTATTCACTTTATGAAATCTAAAGCTAAAAAAATTGATGCATATCGAGTAAATCTATAATCACTTTGAAAGTTTAGAAAATAGACAATGGGATAATGCGGTATAAGATGTACTATTTTTAAGGGTTGAATTTTTTTTTTTTTTTTTTTGTTTCCAACCATATATTACGAGGTTGAGATAACCAACTTGAGATTTTATTACATAGAAAAATCTTTTCTAATAAAATTTTGAGGTATACTACTTTGATAACATAAAACTTGACAACTTCTATGAAAAATTTCCTCGTTCAATTAAAGCCTAAAGCCCAATTGGAGACCTGAAGGCAGCGTTCGTGTTTTTTGTGGAGATGTGAAATTCATTTACCAAATGATAGCATAGAAGCAGCTCTTCTATCTGTTCACCTTTGAGAATATTTTTCAGCAATATTCTACTAAAAATCTTTGTTTATTTCCTGAATTCTAAAATCAGTGGTGAAGTAGTAATTTGCCCTTACAGGAAATAACCTCTCGTCTCTCCCTCTCTCTCTGCGCTTTGGATCTCTCTCTCTCTCTCTCTCTCTCTCTCTCTCTCTCAATCAGACATTTCTGTTCCTTTAAACACTACAACCCTTTTTTGGGTCATCTTCACTAGAGTCCCAATGACTGCCTCAGCGAAAAATGCCCTTTGGAAACTACCCTCAAAGTTCATGCCATTACCAAGACAGTTTCTCTCTCTAAAACCCCACCAAAACCCACCACCCTTTCTCTTCTTCCATCCCATTGGTTCCAGTGAGAGAAACCAGGTGACCCATTTCAGTTCTGGGCTTCAATCTCATGATTCAAAGCGTTTTGACAATCCCCATCTCATGCACTCCTTTGCCTCTCACTCTTTCCGCACCTATATTGATTCTAGAGAGAGAAACGGATCAACCCATCTGGGATTTAGGGCTAGAGTGCAGGATTTGAGGCGTTTCAGCACTGAATCTGAGGTTGATGAGATCAATTTGAAATTTGCAGAGGCTAGAGAAGAGATTGATATGGCTTTAGAATCAAAAGAGACTGTTTATTTTGATGAAGAAGCTGAAAGCGCAAGGAAAATTGTTAAGGAGGTCATGGACATGTATGAGGGGTTGCTGGCTAGGTTACCAGAACAACAGAGAGGGGCTTTGCAGAGGTCCATGGGGCTCAAGCTTGAGCAGCTCAAGGCCGAGCTCAAACAGCTGGACGATTCGTGAGGTCTCTCTCTCTCTCACAACCACTAGATTATATGTTTAGCACCTGATATTTCATGACTGAATTAGATTACATCAATGCTTTCACACGCCATTCTCATGTGAACAACATACTCATAATTCTACTGTCTTTCCTGGTGAAAGTTGGGATATTGGGGAAATTTCTCTTCATGCTTCAAAGAAATAAGCTGTGAATCATTTAAATATTAGTGTCTCTCACCGCAATGATAATTTTGGATGGACCTTAGAATCATAAAAATACTATAGTCTCTCTCATCAATGATAGTTAATGGACTTTATACAGAACCTATCTAATCCTGTAGATATTATATATTTTGTTGACTGAACTGTTTTTTCTTCCCTTTTCTTCTTCTCTCTTACAACTCAATGGGTTTATATTACCAGAAAGCTACGTGGGGAAATGCCATGGTCTGCATTTTTCTCTTTACAAATACAAGAAATTAGGAGTTCCAATTGTAACTTGGGATGGTAGACGTTCTTTCACTGTACCAAATTCACTCCATTGCTCCCACCTCCCCCACCTCTCACAGCCAACCAAAAGGATTACCCCTCTTGTGTTATCAAAAAGACAATGTTAAAAAATGCAGAGGTGGCCGCCTAGGCAGGCACCCTGACACAAAGACGGCCCTAAGGGAAGGGGTTGGGGTGGGGGCCATATGTTGTTTTGTGTCTGTGTTTTGTGAATTTGTGTGTATGTGTTTATTGTGTGTGTGTGTGCATGCGCATGTATGCGTGTGCGTGAGATCTCAAATGAAATTCTTAAAGATCATTTTTTTTTTTTCTTTTGGATCTATATTTGTGAGAGAGGTCTTGAACAATTGGAGGATATATATAGAGAGAGAGGGGCCTCATCGAACACTTGGAGGTCATCTTCGTCTTTTCTTCTTCTTATATGTAAAGAGGGAGCATATGGGTCCATATGTATCTTTGTGTGTGTCAGAGAGAGAGGCTGCGCATCGAACACTTGGAGTCCATCTGCTTTAGAGACCATGTGGCCCCAAGAGAGAGAGATAGAGCAAGAGAGAAATACCAGGCCTTATTTTTGTTTGGGTAGATTTGAATTTCTTTTCTTTTTTCTTTTTATTTATGGGATGACACTAGGTGGGCACCCAGACCACCTAGGCGCCCGCCTTAAGCATGCCCTCCCAGACCCACCTCCTAGGCGGCCGGGCAGCCGAATTTTTGTTCACTGCAAAGAGATAGTTTAACCCTTTCAAGGAGTAGTTTAACCCTTTCAAGGAGTAGTTTAACCCTTTCAAGCAGCCTTGAAAAGATACAAATATAATGGATTTTTCTGTTCAACTTAGTTGCCGTAGTGGTTGTAATGAGTTGCCTTAGTGGTTGTAATATACCCTCAAGAGAGACACAAAGAGAGGACTCTATGCTTCCATTTATCTCACAGTCTATCATAGCATCCCATGGTTGCTCATGAGTTCCCCAAAACGAAGAGGAAGGTGATGAGCAATTCCCTTTGACTGGATTAGGGTGATTAAATTATGCATTTGGTGCTATAATAAGTAGAGAGTATGACACCATTGCACTTGATTGATATTCAGCATATATGAAGATAATGATGATTTAGATGCACATCTGCATAAATAAGTTCATTGAATGTATTGGCAGCAAAGGATGGTTTGAATGTTTTAGCTCTTCTTCAAGAGCTGAAAGATGTATCTGAGCATTAAAAACTTGGACGAAACTATGCGAAGTGAGCTGCTGACCGTATAGATCGGTGCATTTTTTTTTTTCATGGTGAGCCAAGAAAATAGGTTCAACCGAAAGTAGTGTGCCCCTTAACAAGAGAATAGATAATAAATAACAATTTAAAAAAAAAATATATATATATATATATATATATATATATATACTATAGTAAGATAGTAGTAG